TTCTTCTGACTGACACATTCTGATATTGATGCTACTATATTTTTCATTTCATTCACTGTATTTTTCTACTTCAGAATTTGTTTGGTCCTTTATGATTTTTCTTTGTTAAACTGCTCATTTTACTCAACTATTTTCTTGATTTCATCTAATTGTCTATTCTTGTAGCTCACTGAGCTTCCTTAAACAGTTATTTTTCATTCTTTCTTGGGTAAATCACAGATCTCCATGTCTTTGGAATCAGTTACTGGAAGATTATCATAATCCTTTGGTAGTGTCATGTTTTCTTAAGTTTTGCTTTGTCGTCTTTGTATTTGAAATAGCAGTTGCTTCCTCTAGTCTTTACTAACTGCTTCAGCAGAGAAGTAACTTCAGTCATCCCTGCTAGAGATTTTGAGGCTTCCTCAGATCAGCTATGGGTAAGCCTGCTGCACACTTCTTGGCCTCTTATGGCAGAATCCTTAAGCTCTTGTATATCTTCTCTTGAGTCTGCAATGCAAAAGGTTAGGTGCTGACAGTCTCCCTTCTGCTTTCCCAAGTGTGGGGCTAAAGCTCACATTTGTGGTCTCCCTTGGGCCTGCAGATTCAGTTTGGCTTTTTTTGCATGTTCACTAGCCATCTGCCAAAGCTTGCTCTTGATGCTATCAGGAGTGAGACAGGAAGCCACAGGGTGGGTTGTGTGTGTGGGGGTGAGGCGCATGGAGCACTACTGGTTCCCCTGGGCTGGTCAGGGAGACCCACAGGTAAGGTGTCCCCAGTGCCATGTGGGCTAGCTTCTTGATGGGACTGTGAGTTAGTAGGCTCTGTGACTCTTTAATGCCCTCCAGGAGTCCTATCTGCTGTTCTCCTAGCACCTTCCCACCCCCTCATCATGCAGCTCAAGATTCAGTAGTCTGGATGAGGCAAGAGAGAAATGGGCCTCTTTGGCAGCTTCCCACATAGTTGGAGAAGCTGGGTACTCAGTCACTTGCATTTTCCCCTCCAGGAGAAATCATGGGCTGAGAAGGTCTCTCTTGGCCCTGAACTGTGCCACCTTGAGGGAAGGATAATGAGGGTAAAATCAAACTGTTCCTCTTCAAAGCATCTAAACTCATTTATTGCTCCAAAAATGTGATGAAAATTCTCCACTGGAAACCCAGACTTTCACAAAGGTGCTCTTGTCTGTGGGTGATTGTCTGTCTAAGATAGTACTTTCCAAGGGTTTCCACACTGCAGCCGAGAGGGCCTGGAGCTGGTTCGCAGGCCACTGCAGGGTCCATGCCAGGACCTAGGTCTGTATGCCTATAAGCCAATGCATGGGCAGGAAAGATTCCTACCAGGTTGCTTGGCGATTCCTACAAAGTTGCTTGGTGTTGGATCCCTAAGCTCCCACCAGGTCATTTCTGTCTGTATATGGATACCAAATTGCTGGGGGTGGAGGACACAAATGAGGGGAAGCTTTTTCAGCTATGCTGATGTCACTTCTGAAGCTGGTCATCTTTTGTTAGGATAACTGGATAGCTGGGAAGAAATGAATGCTCAGTAATCTCTTAGTGGTCAGATTTCTGCTCTTTGCTTTGTCCTCTTTCTTTAGGTACAATTATTTTCAGTTCTGAAGGCTAGAGGTTCAAGATCAAGGTGTTGGAAAGCTTGATTTTTCCTGAGAACCATAAGGGAAGGATCTGTTCGGGGCCTCTCTCCTTGGCTTGCAGATGGCTGCCCTCTTGCTTCCTCTTCATATGCTTTTCCCTCTGCATACTTGAAATTCCACATGTTCTTAAAGCTAGCTAACAAACACTGGTATTTCTCATCCTGGCAGTTTCAAGATATTAATTCCTTTAGCCACTGGAATCAGAGTGAACAAAAATGAAGAATGAAATCATAGCCAGCTGACAAGGCTTTCACAAGTGCCATAAAGGTTTGAATTCAAAGACCAAGACACTTAAGGATAAAGTGCTGACTCCCTTGGGCATCTGCTGAAGGGCTCAAAGGATCTCCTCAGGGCCTGTGATGACCCAAGCAACTGTATTCTTGGTCTACTCCTTCCCCTAGGCTAAAGTTGCTCAGGTTCCAAACAAGCCTTGCAAAGAGTGGTAATAAAATACTGTAAATAAATACTCACTACTTTGCAAGTGATCTTTGTCTCTGTGCTTCAAACACATGAACAGGCCCATTTACTATGGTTTACATTCTTTTGGTAACACTGTTTGGGTATGGTACTGGCAGTGCTGTAACCTGGGTGTGTGCCACTCTTCCTCACTGGACTGTGGAACATTTCTTGTCTTCATCAGAGGACCTCTGACACTCAGCACAGATTCTGCTCCTCAGTTGGTTCTGCATAAAAGTTTATTCAATAAACAAACAGGGTAGTAAATTAAGACAGAATTTTCCCTCTCTCCTTTTCCCTGTGCCCCATGGGAGTATATGCTAATTAGGGGAAAGGTATGAGAGTGTGGCAAATATATTTCTCTATAAATAAGAATACTAGAAGACAAACATGATTGATGGTATTTTCAATAATTACAATAAAAAACCCAGAAATACCACAATAAAAATATAATTAGGTTTTAAAAGAAGTTTGCATGCATATATATCCAAATAGTTCATTTAAGAACCTCAGTGCTATTTATTTCTATTACAGCTAGACACAAAATGCTCAAAGATTGAAAATATAAAGAAATGAAGACTACGGATTTATGTTTGCAGACTATTTTACTTTGAAACTGTCTGGTGTGAAAACCTAACAAACAGTTTATTAGAATTTGTATTTGATACAACTACATGTTAGAATTTCAGTGGAAAAAACTGATGAAATCCTAATGATCAATAGCCTACAGTAAATGACTATTCTAATTAAAACGAATATGATCTTCAACTATTCTCCTAAGTACTGCTGCTGTAATTTTCTATTTATAAAAACTTTCATTTTAGAGAAAACTGACCTTAATGCTATTTCAAGAAAGAGAATAAACATTAAATCTTCAATCTCAACTTTTAAAGCTTAGAGCTCTTTATTTAAGTATTTCTGCTAATCTTAAACTACTTTTGGTTCATTGCTAACTTTTGAAATATCTTAATGTGATTTAAGGTCTTTTTTTTCTTTTGTCTGGATAGTGCTCATATTTTTTGTCCTTATACCAAAGCAGTAAGGCAAGAAAGTGTTTCCTTTTTCAGATCACATAATATCTATCCATTTTAAAATTCAGGGACTACAACCACTACAAACAATCCTACCAATAGGAAATTAAGGCTGCTGTGATTTTCCTTTATATTTAAACCATAACATAAGATTAGCAGTGTTATTGCCTACAAATGCTGAATTTATAATCATTTGACCTTAAGTCACAGGACATAAATATTGCCATTTCTGTCTGTACTTCAACTCCAGCTAATAAGACATTGTCTTCACAGTTACCTTTGATATAAGTCTGAAGATGAAGTCGGAAAACACTACACAAAGCTGAAACTGGATGACTCTGCTACAAAGAAATAGTGCTTGAGAGGACAAGAGTGGTCTTCTGGGGTCTGGTTAGTGTTGGCGCACTGTGCCCCCAGTGCAGGTCACTCTCCAGCCAGCATGACACAGGTATGGGCACCTTCAGTACTCTAAAAGGGCCTTGCCTGCTACTGCACCAAAGGTGAAATGCGTGGCTTTGCAAGAACTACCAGGTGCCAGTTAGTTAGAGTATATCATGTTTGTTGGAGGTTTGTTGAAGTATAACATTCTTTGAGGCGCCCTTCCAGATATGTGAAAGAGAAAAATCCCATAACCTTGTCTGCAAAAGAGTTTCTAAAATGTGAATGTGAACCAGACTTTGCAGTATACATCTACCAGTGTTAGCACCATATTTAAGTCTGAATTGAGGTAAAGATAAACTCTCAGATAGACTTTGGGTAGAAATTTTTGAATGGGGTGTTTACAGCAGTATTCATCCTGATTTTGAAAAACTACTTGATCCCAAGTATACCTATTATACCTATCCAAGTATATACTGAAATTGATAAATTACAAAGCTAGATATAAGCTTTGAGCAGGAGAAATGTAGTAAAACAGAACTCATATTCTTGAAATTCAAAGTATGTCATTATTGGCTTGATGAAGTCAAAGATTTTGATAAAATACTGAGCCAATATCACAAAGCCAGTTTATCAAATGACAATGCCCAGAAGTTCTGTTTCTCAGAGTATGTAGTCAAGCTTACTGTAGATGCTACCCAGTCAACATCCAGCTCCTACATGATTTATCCCCTGCTCATTGCTCCATTTAATAAAAAAGGTAAGTAGCTTCTCTCTTCCCCAACTATTTTGATTTATGTAGAGAGACCTCTGAGACTTGGGAAGCAAAGACCCTAAAACTTGGTTAAAATTTTGAAGGTGTCCAGTATGTTTCAGCAGATGAAAACCAAATTTAGTTAAGGGATAACTGGACAAAATACGGTAATCTTCTACTTTAGTTCCTATAAGCTGATAAGGTGAAACAATAATGTGTAAAATAAAGAACTATGAAAACTTTTCAAATTGCTTTTCCCCTCCCCTTAGCATTACTTAACATATAAGAAAATAAGAAATCTTAAATTTCTTATTTTCTAGCTTTGGGGAGCATAACACAGACTAATTTTTCAAAGGAGAATAATTACCATTATTTATTAAATAAAATATTACCTTGAAGTTTGAACAACACAGGAATTCCATCTCTAGTAAGAGCTGGTCTTGGTGCTCAGGCAGAAGTTTATCACTCAATTTGACCAAGATTCCTCAAAAACACCCATCAGCAGTATTTTCATCTGACTCTGTTGAGGTTCAGATGAAAACAGGAGTAACTTTCCCCTGTAGCCTACAGAAACATTTTAGGGAAACAGTTTAAAGTTTGTTCTTAACCTAAATATTCAGCTGAATACTGCAGACCATTCTTCAGAAAACTCATGTAAACAGTCATTCTTCTTTTCTAAATCTGCTGGTGCTAACTGCACCTAATTGGTAATATACATGGAGGTATAGCTTAGCTATGTTTGCAAGAATGCTAATTAATATATAAGATCTTTCAGTTCCCTGTCAGTCAGTTCATTCACTTCCATGATCTTCTCTAAGTGTTCCATATATCGGGCATGGTCCTGCAGAAAGTGAGGGACCCTCATGTTTTCAGTAACTGCCAATCCTTTTAAGCGATCCACATCTTCATAAGAGACCTGAAAAAAGGAAGATGGGTTACTTTTTAAATGTGACTACCAGTTAAATTTTGAAGAGCAATTTCTTCCTTTGGTCTTAAGTGAAACTTTATGTAGACTGTTTTTGAAATTACTCCCTAATACCTGGAAAATGACAAAATTCACTGTGTTAAATAAGAACGTATTTATCTGCCCCTTCTCTTTATTGGAGTATAATTGCTTTACAATGGTGTGTTAGTTTCTGCTTTACAACAAAATGAATCAGTTATACATATACATATGTTCCCATATCTCTTCCCTCTTGCATCTCCCTCCCTCCCACCGTCCCTATCCCACCCCTCCAGGTCACAAAGCACGGAGCTGATCTCCCTGTGCAATGCGGCTGCTTCCCACTAGTTATCTACCGTACGTTTGGTAGCGTATATATGTCCATGCCTCTCTCTCGCTTTGTCACAGCTTACCCTTCCCCCTCCCCATATCCTCAAGTCCATTCTCTAGTAGGTCTGTGTCTTTATTCCTGTCTTACCCTTAGGTTCTTCATGACATTTTTTCCCTTAAATTCCATATATACGTGTTAGCATTCGGTATTTGTCTCTTTTTCTGACTTCACTCTGTATGACAGACTCTAGGTCTATCCACCTCATTACAAATAGCTCAATTTCGTTTCTTTTTATGGCTGAGTAATGTTCCATTGTATATATGTGCCATATCTTCTTTATCCATTCATCCAATGATGGACACTTAGGTTGTTTCCATCTCCGGGCTATTGTAAATAGAGCTGCAATGAACATTTTGGTACATGACTCTTTCTGAATTATAGTTTTCTCAGGGTATATGCCCAGTAGTGGGATTGCTGGGTCATATGGTAGTTCTATTTGTAGTTTTTTAAGGAACCTCCATACTGTTCTCCATAGTGGCTGTATCAATTTACATTCCCACCAACAGTGCAAGAGGGTTCCCTTTTCCCCACACCCTCTCCAGCATTTACTGTTTGTAGATTTGTTGATGATGGCCATTCTGACTGGTGTGAGATGATATCTCATTGTAGTTTTGATTTGCATTTCTCTAATGATTAGTGATGTTGAGCATTCTTTCATGTGTTTGTTGGCAGTCTGTATATCTTCTTTGGAGAAATGACCATGACTATATTTTTAAAAATCTAGTCAGTATTTGATTTAATAATCTATCTTGGATCTACAGTTTGTCTAGAAATTAAACAGCTAAACTTAATAATATATGTGTGTGAAAGACTGAACCTAAACAAATCTCTTGCCTAAATCTAAGAATTGGGACCTCTCTGGTGGTCCAGTGGGTAAGACTCCATGCTCCCAATGCAGGAGGCCCAGGTTCGATCCCTGGTTGGGGAACTAGATCCTGCATGCATGCTGCAACTAAGAAGCCCGCATGCCACAAATGAAGATCCCGCGTGCTGCAACTAAGACCCAGTGCAGCCAAAATAAATAATAAATAAGAAAATAATTAGAATGTAAATACTGTATTATTAAGTTAGGAAAATCGGCACAATTCTATTTAATTGGAGAAATAAAATAATGTTTTGTGTTAAAAATATCAAAATAAAAGCAAGAGAATTTAAATTTTTAAATTTTTAAAAATTTCACATCTCTTTGAGTAAGAAGCCCGTCTTTCATAAATATTATATTAATTTATAGAACTTAAAGTTTCACCCCTAAACTTATCTTTCAACTTTTAAATTCCAAAACATAGCTGGCTTTAAGAACTATTATCAACACTCTTCCTGGTTCAGTAGGAAGGCTTTAAATAAATCATGTTCATATTAAGTTTTATTTATATTTCAGTTAAAATTGAGTATTTATATCACTAAGTGTAATAGGTTATAGGAAGTAGGTTTGGTGTTGATATTGGCATGGTTTTGTAATTTATCTTAAACCACTCTAAGTTTATTATAAGGAGAGAATGAGTAAATATACTGATGTTGGGAAATAAGGTTCTCATTTTAAGAAAAGAGATACATACATGGAATGGGAAGGGAGATGTAAAAAGACCTTGGGATGTCTGATTTGAATTAGAATGCCCTTATGATTTAAAACAAATATATGATATGCTCATTGACAAGGTCTAGAAGCATCAGCACTCAAGTAGTGATGTGCACACCTCGTGCTCAAGTCTTGTTTTCTAAATACCATTTCCCACTAAAAAGAATCAAGACTTCCTTGGAGAAACATCTAATCTCAGATTTGGGTAGGAAAAGTGTAAGGTGAGCCCAGAATATTTTAGTTTGCTTGAAAACATGTAGACATGTTTTAAAAACCACAGGAGTGGCCATTGGAAGAGCTGAATAAAAACGTGGAGGGAAATGTAACAGAATTCAAAGATCTCTATTTTGCTACCACCAGTGTAGTAACTGATTTGGGCAAACATCATCAATTGATGTTAAAATCATTTCTGGAAAGGCTGTTAGACAATGGTACATTTGAAGGTATCATCCCACAAATTACTTATTCATGGAGGAAAGGTACCTTTATAATGGAGAGATCTGGCAGTAACTAACCCAGGTGATTATACACAGTATCACCAATACTGGGACAAAATATCTCTCTAATGTGATGCACTGAAAAATGCATGACTCACTTTAGTATTCTTGGCAAAAATGTTTAAAGCTAATCACAAGGAAACAATCTGATAGTCCAGATTCTAGGAATTCTCAAGGAAATTTTCTTGGATTCTTAAAAATGTCATAAAAAAAGACTATGGTGAGGGGGACTGTTATAAATTAAGAGATTAAAGATGATAAGTGAATGCAAGGCATAAATCTTGACTGGATCCTGGGTCATGAAAAAGAGCTACAAAGGACATTTTGGAGATGATCTGGGGAATATAAAATAGACTTTTTTTTAGATATTATATGGAATCAATGATAAATTTCTTTAGAAAACATATGGTCATGTCAGAATATCCTTATTCTTGGGAGATACATACTGAAGTATGAAGGGGAGTAGAGTTATACCTGCAGCTTACTTTAAAATACTTTAGGAAAATATGCATATAAAAACTAATAATATATTCCCAAATTTCCTATTCTCTTCTTTATCTCTTCTTGTCCACAAAGGAATATTGTAATTTGGTTCTGTGACAGAACCTCATTTCTTCCCTCCTGTTATCACATAAGGGAAAACTACTCCAACAATAAAATAAAAACAGTTTCAATTTGAGTCTTATTTAATCATGAAATGAGCTGGAGGAAGTGTTGACCTGGTACGTTTGCAGACTCTGTGCCATTGGTTTCACTCACCTTCCCCAGGGCCGTCAACAGATGAAAGTCAATGGTCTCTCTATATCGGAGGATTTGCAGGATACCATCCAAGTATACCTGGTCTTTACTGAAACACCCTGGAGGAACCAGAACAGTGTTTACTTTCTGATGTTTAAAAAAATTATTAAGTAACTAAATACCAGCCCATTCACTTTACCGTAGGAGTCAGTCCTGTACTTAAAAAATAAATAGGGCAAATTAGAAACTTAACTATAATCATAACATAAAATGTAAGGTCTTGAGAAGTACCACAGTAACTACAGCCTAGTAGCTTCCCTTTAAGAATTCCTTCTCCCTGGCTCCCCACTCCCCATAATTAAAGTAGCATTTTTCCCTAAAGAAACACAGAGCAGAAACTAACACAACACTGTAAAGCAATTATATTCCAATAAAGATGTTAAAAAAAAATTATCCCATCCTCACCTCTACCATTTGATTGTAAGCTTAACTTCCATGACTAACTGAAGGCATTTGGGTGGAGAGGGCTGGGAGAGGATAGTTGTAGAGTAGTTAAGTTTCAAAAGGGGCCAATGTGGAGACATGGGATTTCAGAAATTCCTGGGTTTTTTATAAGAAATAATACCCTTTACCCTATTAAAGTTAACTGTAGGTGATTTTGATACTATTCCTCCCTATAAAAATGAGAATTAGAACTGGATTTTAAAGCATTATGAAAAAATATGAAATAGACATGAAAATTAGGAATAGCTCATGAGATCTGTGCTTAGATAAAAAACGGTATTCTGCTTACAAAGAAAACCTTTCTCCCATCATGGCATAACTTATGTAAATTTTTAAAAATTTTGCTCTAGAATTAAATGGACTAGAATTCTACCAAATGGAGAGTCATACAATAAGAAAGTATTGTTGACGAGTTCCCAAAACGGTGGACTAAGAGGGCCCTGAGCTCACCTCCTCTCACGGGCACACACCAAAATTACAGCTATTTACAGAGCAACTGCAAGTGAGAAAGACTGGAACCTACCAGAAAAGATTTCTATAACTAAAGATATAAAGAAGGAAACACAACTAGATGGGTAGGAGGGGAGAAACTGCAGTATAGTCAAGACCCAGATCCTGAGGTGAGAGACCTACAAATGGGAAGATAATGGTAAGTACAGAGGTTCTCCAGAAGGAGCAAGAGGTAAGAGACCCACATCAAGCTCCCCAGCCCAGGGGTCCTGTGCTGGGAAGATGAGACCCCAGAATGTTTGGTTTTGAAGGTCAGAGGAACTTACTTTCAGGAGACCCAGAGGGCTGTGGAAAAGAAAGACCCCACTCTTAAAGGGTGCACACAAAATTTCACATGCTCTGGGACACAGGGAAGCAGCAGTAATTTGAACAGAGCCTGGGTCAGACCTACTGGAGCTCTTGAAGAGTCTCCCAGAGAGGCAGGAGGCAAATGGAGCTCCCCTGGGGACACAGGCACTGGTGGCAACCATTTTTGGGAGTTAATTCTACCACATTGAAACTGGCGCTGCAAAGCACCATTTTGGAATCCTCCCTCTAGCTTACTAGGCATGGGACCCAGACCCAGCTCTGCCACCACTCACCAGCCTACAGGCACAGGTACTGGATCACCTCAGATCAAGCAATTAGCTGGGTGGAAATATAACCCCACCTACCAGTAGACAGACACTAGCCCCAGAACAACCACGGCATGCTATGCCAGGACCCAGCCCAGCCACCAGCAGTTGGCACCAGTCCCAGGACTTGCTGGGGGGGACACCAGGGGGACAATAAAAGCTCTGAGACAACTTGGGCCCCTTAGACATTACCCCAGGATCAGGCCGCATTTACCAGTGGGCCAACACAACCTTTGGGACACCCCAGGCCCCATAGCCAGCTGTGTCATGAACCAGCCAACCCACCAATGGTCCAAAACTCTGAAGCCAGAGGCCCCAGGACATGGCTCAGCTAGCCAATGGGCCTGCACTATCCCCATGACCCAGCTTTAGCCACCAGTGGGCCTGACAGAGCCCCAGGATCTCCTGTATCCTGATGCTGCCCACCAGCAGGCAGACACCAGCCCCAGGATTCACCCAAGCCCTAGCTCTGTCTACCAGCAGGCCAACACAAGCTTTGGGACACCTTGGACCCCATACCCAACTGTGTCAGGATCCCTCCACCTCCTGCTCAGCAGTCTAACAACAGCTCTGAAATTCCTGGGCCCTGTTGTCAGACTCTGGGACCCAGCTCTGCCTGCCACTAGTCCAACACTAACCCCGGAACCTGACTTCACCCACCAGTGGTAGGGCAACAGCCCTAGAGTCTTATGGACCCTGATTGTGTCCACCAGTGAGCCAGCACTAGGCCTGGGGACCCTGAGGTTTTGTAATCTGCTACCTTGTGACCAGGTCCCACTAACCAGCAGCATCTGCACAAGGCAGGTGCCTGGCAACCAACTGGGCCAGGGGCCAACCAAGCCTACCAGACCACCCACATAGCTCACCCAAACTGAAGGACCAATGCAGCCCTCTTAGGGGGAAACTATAGAGCATATAGCATGGGTGACGAGAGGGGAGTGCGCAGTGGGATGCATAAGACATCTCCTACAGCAGACTACTTCTTCAAGGTACAGAAACATTAACCTACCACATACATAAAAATAGAAATAGCAACTTAGATAAAATGAGGCCACAAAGAAACATGTTCCAGATGAGGAAACAAGATAAAACCCCAGAAGAACAACTAAGTGAAGTGGAGATAGGCAATCTACCCGAGAAAGAGTTCAGAGTAATGACTGTAAAGATGATGAAAGAACTTGGGAAAAGAATGGACGTACAGAGCAAGAAGTCAGAAGTTTTTAACAAAGAGTTAGAAAATATAAAGAACAACCAACCAGAGATGTAGACTATAACTGAAATGAAAAATACACTAGAAGGAATCAACATTAGACTACATGATACAGAGGAACAGATCAGTGAGCTGAAGATAGAGTAGTGGAAAGCACTGCTACTGAAAAGAAAAAAGAATGAAAAGAAATTAGGACAATTTAAGAGCCCTGTAGGACAATATCAAGCACACTAATATTCACACTGTACGGGGTCCCACAAGGACGAGAGAGACAGGGACAGAGACAGAGACAGAGAGAGAGAGAGAGAGAGAGAGAGAGAGAGAGAGAGAGAGAGAGAGAGAGAGAGTGAAAACGTAACAGGTGAAAACTTCCCTAACCTGGGAAAGGAACAGTCACTCAAGGCCAGAAAGTAGAGAGTCCCATACAGGATTAACCCAAAGAGAAACCAAGACACACTGTAATTAAAATGACAAACATTAAATATAAAGAGAATATTAAAAGCAGCAAGGGAAAAGCAACAAATAGCATACAACAGAATTCCCATTAAGTTACTGGCTGATTTTTCAGCAGAAACTGAAGGCCAGAATGGAGTAGAAAGATATATTTAAAGAGACGAAAGGGAAAAACCTACCACCAAGAATAATCTACCCAGGAAGGCTCTCATTCAGGAGAGATCAAAAGCTTTACAGACAAGCAAAAGCTAAGAGTCCAGCACCATCAAGCCAACTTTACAACCAATGTTAAAGGAACTTCTCCTGATGAAAAAGGCCACAACTAAAAACAAAATTATAAAATCAAAATGATCAACAAAGGCAAACATACAGAAAATGTAGGAAATCATCCACACACAAAGCTAATAGGGTGGTAAAAAGACAAAAGTAGTAAAATAATCTATAACCACAATGAGCAGTTAAGGGATACACAAAACAATTAGATGTAAAATATGATATGAAAAACAGCAATCATGAAGGAAGGAGAGTACAAATGTAAGATTTTTAAAATGCATTTGAAATTAAGAGCTCAGCAACTTAAATCATACATACATACACACACACACACACACACACACGTATACAGACTGCTATATAAAAAGCTCACGGTAACCTCAAAACAAACACCTATAATAGATATACACACAAGAAAAGAAAAAAAGAACCCAAACATAACACTAAAGATAGTCATCAAATCACAGGAGACGAGAACAAAAGAAAGGGGGAAAAGACCTATAAAAACAAACCCCAAACAATGAACAAAACGGCAGTAAGAACATACATATCAATAATTACCTTAAATGTAAATGGACTAAATCCTCCAACCAAAAGATAGAGTGGCTGAGTGGATACAAAAACAAGAACCATATATACGCTCCTACAGAAGACTCACTTCAGATCTAGAGACACACACAGACTGAAAGTGAGAGAACGGAAAAAGGTATTCCATGCAAATGGAAATCAAAAGAAAGCTGGAATAACAATACTCATATGAGACTAAATAGACTTTAAAATAAAGATTGTGGGGTGAAGTCAAGATGGTGGACTAGGAGGATGTGGAGTTTGCATCTCTGCACAACTAGGGCACCTGCCAGGCACTGGTGGGGGACCATGGACACCTAAGGAGATGGGAAGAACCCATGAGCAACTGGGTAGGGCAGGGGGAGGAGGAAGGGGGGAGGATAAGTGGAGGCGAGACAGACCAGTGCCCCTGTGGGGTGGCTGGGGGAGGCAAGGGGTTCCCATGCCCAGAGGGGCCCACCCATGGTTAGGGGATCAACAGGGATGGGGGAGACACTTGGGATAGTGGATTATCAGAAGGGAACAGGGTCAGCATTTCCCCTGCCCACTAGGGTCCCGGGGAGGCCCAAGTGAGGTTACCCGGCCTCATCCTCTGCCCTCCAAGACACCCTCCAACTGCACTGGGCCTACACCCTGCCTCCACACCCCCAACCATGACCTCACCTCTGAACCCACACTCCAAGGTCCCCCTCCAGATGTGCTGCCTTTCGTGGCTGAGCAGGTCCTGAGCCTAAACCCCACCCCTGCCTAAGCCCCACTACCCCACACTGCCCCCCACAGCCAAGGCCTTTTCTAGCCTTTTTTTTTAAGGTTATGGTTCAGCTTTACCTTGTTGTTCTTTCATCTATATAGATATTTTTCTAATTTTTAATTTTTCTAATTTTATTTTATTCTTTATACCTTGTTGTTGTTCTGCAACTTTTGGCTTGTGCCCCCAGCTTTTTCTTTTTCTTTTTTTTATTGTGGTGCTGTTTTACCTTGTTGCAGT